GCGGCCCTCCCAGACCTCTTGTCATTCTTGTGAGGACTCTTGTGAGTTCATGTAAGATCCCCTAGGAACCTGTTGGTGATTTATAGAAAGGTTACATAACCCAGAGAGAGGTTGGGGTTCTAAAAATACCATGGGTGGAGGCTGAATCAGAAAGAAACTGTGTAATTATAGTGACAGTCCTCCTGTGGACCCACAGGTTGGGAAAATGGCAATTGCTAAAATGCTGTTTTTGAAAAGACCACTCGGTATTTTTTCCCTCTGCCTCCTTTACTAAAGCCCCAGAGGATTACTCACCCATACACATCATGTTTCTTGAATTGAACATATATTATTTTAAATACTCCATTTCCTATTGGGTTCTGGTGCCAATATGACTAGTGCCCATCTTGTAGGCATGGTGTGTGAATTTAATTCGATGCCACCCATAAAGCAGGAGAATAGGACTGAAAAATAGCCATTAAAGATAACTATTAGAAGGGGGAAGTCCTCTTCCCCCTTCTGCAAAGTAACTGCACTATGCCAAGAGCGCCCTTCTCTCGGAAAAATGCATAAAACCTATCTCACTTTCCACAGCATGCTGTTGCTTCACACTTAAAGCTGGCAAAACGAGAAGTGAAACCCCAACAGTTCTCTGTGTGGTTGACACTAGTCAAGGGTTTTTCACCGGACCCATGAATCATCAGACAAATACATATGCATATGCATCTCTATATTATACGTACCAAATGATTTATTTATAACACATTTCTTTCCATGAAGGACATGAGAGAGATTCAAATGTCGTCTACATGCACAATAAGTTGAATCAGAACTAAAATATCTGGACAAGGAACAAACACAGGAAAGAAAGACGCTGCGAGTAAGCTCTAGCATAGTGTTTTCCTATTCCAACTCCAGAGAGACCCCCTGGTGCTTTGGGTAGTGTGGCTTTGCAGAAAGCCACAACTCACGTTCACTGCTTTCCATGCGTGCCGTGGGCTTTACTTCTCTGAGAGTCTGGTTAACCCAAATAGAAAATAGGGCAAACTACTACTCTGTAAAGCTGTTTTTAAGTATTTTCCAAATGTCCTCATTGCTTTCTTTGAATTGACCATTCTTGCGGAAGCTGGGTGAGTGTCCTTTTCTGAGAACTCCCCTTTACGTGACACACGTTGTCTCAGAGGCATTGTTTTCTCTGTGAGTTTTTCTACTCTTCATTGTTTACTGCTCTTTTGTAAATGGGGCCATGGTGATGGAATGATACCTAACAGGAAGTAGCCACGGTGAGCTCCCCACCTTGAAGGATTTCACAATCCCCTGAGGGATTCAATGTTCCCTCAGACAACACTGGGTTGATGCAGAAGGAAGCGTTACTGCAACTCTTGTTATGTGGTCCCCCCAGCTGTATCAGCCCATATATTCCCGGGATCATCAAGGAGAGCTGACCTCCTGAGGTCATCCCACCCCTTCTCTTCCTTTGGCCCAAATTTTTCTTTATGAAACCAGGAAGTTGGACCTCTCGCCCCCATGACAATAAGTGCCACATTCAACCAAATTATTTTAATGCTACCTGTATGACAGTCATAACTTACTAGATAATACATTTAGAATGACATCAAGTGACAGAATGACAGAGTGTATTTGACATATCTGCTTGAAAGATAGTGGTTAAATATGGATATGCCAGCATGCCTCTAGCAACCTTACTTATGACACAGGTGCATAGAGGAGACATGCAACATGAGAACTGAATTTATGAAAACAAAAAATATATATACCAGGGACGATGAGTTAATAAATAGAACATGCTAGGGACTGACCGGGATGCTTGTAAATATGTGTTGATCAGGTTTCCTTAGGAATCCGTTGCGAGACTTTAACCTTGTAAGGAAACTGACCTAAAATGGAGCAAGGATCGGGATCAGGAGCCTGAGTCATCAAGTTGAATTTCAGCTGTATTCAGTAGAAAAGGAAACAGTGAGCAAAGACCTAGTTCAGTTGAAACTACCATTATGCTTTGTTTCAAGGTGGTAAAAATGTGAGCCATGAGGTGCTTTCCATTCAAAAGCCTCAGGAGAAGACCGACATCCTTTTCTGATCTGACTGGGGCCAGTCTCTTAGTTATAATTCAGTCTTACGGTTAAGAGTTGAATTGACTTTCTCTGCCATGGACTCCTTAGCTGAATGGCTGACATTGTACAATACAGAACAATGCAGATTCTGTATTGTAGCCCAGTACCCATTCCCTCTGCACTGCAAACTCCAGGAGATCACCAGCCCTGGGTAACCTGGCACCACTGAATCACGTTCCCTTAGCCCCAAGCCTACCATGTTGCAGCATTTAATACTTGTCAACTGAACAAGTACTGGGTGCAGCTGGGCCAGAAGCACCTGAGGAGGTCCTCCTCAGGTGGGGGTTGTTGCTGAGTGCTGGCTGCTCTCTGCATCTGCTGTTCTTTCTGGAATCCACGCTTTACCATCCAGCAAGGCTTTTCTGAGTCGTCTCCAGAATATGTGCCGCCCCAGGCCACTGTCCTCCCACTCCAGGTACGTGTTCCTGCTGAGAAGGCGATACAGCTCCACCTGCTGCCGGAGCAGGGACTTCTCCACCTTCTGCAGGACGATGAAAATGATGCCCGCCCGACTGCTGAGAAACTGCCAGGTCTGGGCAATCTCATACTCAAAGATACACCATCGACTCTGGATGAAGTGTCGGGACACGACCACAATAACCTTCCGGCTTTTGTGGAAACCTTCCTGGATGATGTTGGCGGCAATGGCCACCCCAGGAATAAAGTCTCTGTAGTGAAGGCAAAGATGAAAGGGGGGCACCCCCTCCTCCAAGTTCTTTACCAACTCATTCCTCACCCAGTCCTCATCCTGGCTTGAGTAGATAACAAAGGCATCATAGGTGCTTTCACCTCTGCCATACTGTTTGCAACCAGCAAGAAGCATCAGGTGGAAATAGAACTTGTAGACCAGAACTGCCACCACAGATATCACAAGGACAGAGAGAACTGACACAGCAACGGCGGTCTTGTTCATCTGACAGGTGGAATTCCTGAAACTGAGCACCGGCACACCCTGCATTTCTGAAGGGTTCACACACAGCATTTGTTCAGAGTCCACCAAGAGATGCCTGTGGTCCTTGACCCACTGCAGGAAACTCAGGTGTTCACAGACACAAGCAAAGTGATTCTCAGTGAGATTTAAGGAAGCCAGACTGCTTGGAAACAGCGGTAGCTCTTGCCTCGTGAAAGCCACTATACGGTTAAAACTGCAGTCCAGAATGCGAAGGGAGTGAAGAGATTGGTAAGGAAGTGTATCCAAGAACAAGAGGTTGTTGCGACTCATATTTAGCAACCGAAGATTTGGGAGTGAGCCAAATGCCCCCTGGGACACCCGTTCCAGTTGACACTTAGAGACGTCCAGGGAGGTCAAGCTAGTCATATTTGTGAAGATACTTGGAAGGAAGTTGTCCTGAAAAGAATTGCCAGCCATTTTCAGGACCCGGAGGCTGAACAAGCCATCGAAGATGCCATGGAAGACAATGCGTGTGTTAGTATAAGAAATGTCAAGGTAAAGGAGGTTTTTGAGTGACAGGAATACTGAGAAATCACTGGCCTGTTTCAAAGTGGAATGCTGGAAATCCAGATGTTCTAGTTGCTCTAAGCCCAAGAAGTTCGAACTCATAGTGATAGCATCATTGAAGCTCAGATCTAAGTGTTTCAGCCTGGTTGTCCCCAGATCAGAATGAGAACAGCAACCCTTGAAAGTCAAGTCATTTCTACTGAGATCTAGAAACTCAAGTTTTGGTAGGTTAACTTCAGTAAAAGGGTTCAGAACTTTATTGTCAGTGAAAATAAACGTTTTGAGAGAGTCAAGCTCCAATGTGGGAAAGTGTTCAAATTTACTATTAGCCAATTCTAAATATTGCCATCGGAAGTCTTTAGAAAGGCCTCCTAGCTTGTTGAAATTCAGACCCAAAAAAGAAATTCTAGAAACGTTTGCCAAACAATGAAAAAAGCCAGCATCGTCCTCTGAGAAGTCACGCAAGAATGCTAGCCGAAATTCTTCCATGCTCACATTGCACAGTCCCTCCAGGGCAGATTTGTCCAACTCTTTGATGGCTCTTTCGTTTTTAAATTCTCCTAGAACCAACTGATTGATTTTTAACCCAGCTAGGCTTTGAATACAAGTTTTCATTACATCTGTACTATTAAAATTACTTCTCACAGTCAGTTCTTGGAGCTTGATTTCTTTAAAGGCATTTTGTTGGATAAAGTCTAAAGGGTTCAGGGACAAGTCTAAAGAGAGTTTGAATGGGGGCATTTGATGGAGAACCAGCAAGTCTTCATGATAAATATTTTGGATCTTGTTATTGGAAAGGTCCAAGTATTCCAGGTCCGCCAGGTTAGCAAAATATTCAGGTAACTTGAAGGAATTGATAAAATTGTGAGCCACATTAAGCTTCTTCAAGGTTTTCAGGTGTCCAATGGGGAAGTCTTCTAGAGATGCTAGGTTTATCTCCACAGCCACTAGTGTCTGTAAACTTGATAGTCCAGAAAAGGCTCCCTTGGCTAAACTCTGAATAGGGTTCCCCGTCAATATCAAAGTGGAGAGATGCTTTAGGCCCTGATGTGCATCATCTTCAATTATCTGAATTTCACACCTATAGGGAAGACAGATACAGATTATATAATAAGTCTGCTGAATAGAAAACCCAAAACGAAAAAAGAAAAACAAACCAGCCCCAGTCATCTAGCTCTTCACACACATTTGACATGCCATATGATCATGTGTAGGCAAAGAAACCAAACAGGGCTGATGATGGCATGCACAAACACAAAACTTCACAGCTTTGGTGTCATCATACTAACCACAATGACAAACTCTTTTTGAAATCACACTAGGCATATGTACTAAACAGATGTAGCACGTCCGTCGGAAGGAAATCAGTTAAAGATCAATAATTGTGGCATGTAAAAACTGTATAGCTGACAAAGGATGTAATGGCTTTGGATCAACTTTTGCTACAGGCAAATGTGATCATAGATCTGACTGGTACAGATGATACAGATAAATAGTCATTAGGCATGATAAATGACTGGTGAATGTCAATTTCAAAGATGTAAGATATTACACATAGGTGTCACAGATATCCTTTTTTTTTAGCTCCCTCTTCCCCGCCCCCCCAAAAAAAACAGTGTTGTTTTGATGCAGGATTTTGGGTGTGTGTGTGTGTGTACACGCTGGGGTCATGGTCTCATGGAACCGCAGAATGGAGACACGGACCAGAGAGGTAAAGTTGCAGAAAAGGAGTTTATTAGAAGTAAAAATACATTTCAAAGAAGCAGAAGCGGGCCCAAGTGGTAGAGAAAAGTAGAGAACGGCTCAAGGGCCATTATTAGAAAAGAAAGTACACTCCAAAGAGTTTGGAGCAAAGGAAGCTCAAAAGGTCCGAGGGGGCCCAGGGCAAGGGCCAGGGAGTCATTATTAGGAGAGAAAGTACACTCCAAAGAGTTTGGAGCGGGCCCCGAGCAGACGCAAGGCTCAAAATGTTCAAAAGTCCACAGATACCCTTACTGTTGATAAAATGTTCTCCATATATGATAGCTAGATATTTGAAAGTTGTCGTTATCATTGGTAAATGTTAGTAACAGGTAATAGGAGTGAGTTTTATGGACGAAAAGCCTGCTGTGAGAGTTTATGTCAAAGGAACAGGCTTAGATAAGAGGGATCAAAGCAGCCTTTTCTGAGAACACTTAAACTGCAATCTGAAAGATGAGTAGGGATTAACAAGAAAAGGCAGTGAACCGAATAGCAGATACAAAAGCCTCAAGTTAGTGTACGTCAGCTTTAATTGAAAAATTAAAAAAAAAACGTTGCCGAAAAATAAAAAAAGCTTCGAGTTAGGCAGCAGCCATCATACAAGGAGGAACCCTGAGAAACGTCTTCCATGTCTAGAGTACAGAGAGGGAAGGGGAGGCGTGTGAGATGGGGTTGTGAAGAAAGGAACTCACAATAAGGTCAAGGCTTTCAAACCAGAAGAAGTAATTTTAATTTTACCCCAAGTGAAGTGGAAGCCATGCTTTAGAGAAGGTTCGCAGAAGTATCCTAGAGACAAGGCTCTTGTCCAGCTAACAAACAATGAAATAATGGTAAACTCTTGCTGGCATTGCAAGGGCCTGTCAGTTACGGTCTGTAAATGAGTCCTTTCCTAGTCCAGCCTGAATTACATTTGTAGCGTACCCCACTTGCCTTATCGCCTTAAGGAGGTTCACGGGTAATACAAGCATTATGATCCAAGATTTTATTATTGATTGGTGGCTGGATAGATGGTAGTGGGAACAGTAGAAAGAACACTGAAAACAGGGCCAAGCCATTTGGGTCCTGTGGTCTCTGCTTGTCCTTTTGTATTGTGTGACCTTGGGAACTCTGCTTCCACTTTGGGCCGCAGTTATTACCTTTCCTCTAAACGAGGCAGCTACACTTGATTATTCCTCAAGTCGTTTTCAGTTATATGATTTTGTAGTCCATAACCTTATGTATATGTCACATCAGGCAAGACTAGAAGAGTCTTGCCATGTCTCTGTTGCATCAAAGGGCGCTTATCATTTTAGAGAAGTAGCATGCTAAGATGAAGAAAATATTTAACTTGGAAGCAGGAGAGGTGAACTTGAAACTGCGGTCTGCTCCCAGCAAGCTACATAAACATAGATAAATCACTTAAACTCTCCAAGCCTCAGTTTCCTTGTCTTTAAAAATAAAAAAATATATATAGCAGTAGGTTTCTATAGGGAGAAAAAGAAAAAGACTTCCTGGTCTTTCACAAAGCATCCATAGAGAACTAGTTGAATTACTGTATGTGAACATTGTAAAGAATTATGTTGGGCCGGCCGAGTGTCGTGTTGGTTAAGAACTAGCTTGGGACGCCAGAGGGCCCCGGTTCGGATCCCACATATGAGGGCCAGTGACACTGCCCTCCACAGCTAAGATGCTGAACAACAGCTCAACCTGGAGCCTGGCTGCCGTGAGTCGCCAGCGACGGCGTAGGCTGCAGCCCCTGCTGCAGTGGGTTGCCATGGGCTACCGTGTGTAGCCAGCAGCCAGCGTGAGCGGCCAGCAGCCTCCGTAAGCAGCCGTCCAGAGGCCGGCGACTGATCTGCCTCCCCCGGGAAGAGCACAATGATGGTGCCAACTTGGGCCAGTGAAGCAGCATCCTCCACAACTAGACTGAATTACAAAAGCAACAGCAACTTGTCTGTTCCCCTTCCCCCGATTCCCCAATAAACCTTTAAAAAAAAAAAAAGAATTATGTAGGCAAGGGGTATTATTATACTATTGTTTGTCCTTGCTGTAATTCAGAACCTCCTACTGGCTAACCAGAGGGGAGCTGACCTCTCTTCGAGCAGATATTTATGGCCTCTGAGGGAAGGGCCTTGGGTATATGGTGAATCAAAGATGAATTATAATGGACATTGTTTGATGAGAAACCACTTCTTGTTTAAGAAAGGGGGAGAGTTGGTCTATCTACCTCAGTACAGCTCTTGATAAAATTCTTAGTAAGAAATGCTATAATAATAATAATAATAATAATAATTAATAATAATATGTTAACCTTATAAAGTTTTATTGATAAAGTTATTAATATATGTAGCATGTTAATATTCACGATCACATTTAACCCTGTGGGATAAATGTCATCACTTCTGTTTCACAGACACAAAGGATGAGACTCAGGGAGAGGAAGTGACATGCCTCAGCCACATGGCTGTAAGTGTTGGAGGGGAACCCGGCTCAGGACTTCTGATCCCACAGGGCTAGGAATTATACCACTGCTTTTAAAATGTCCCATTCCTCCTTTGTTATACTCTATCAATATCCGAGGTAGAGTACAAAACATCAGATGCTTGCTCTTTTACAGAAATGTCCACTTTAGAAGAGAATTTTCATACGAGGCTCTTAGTTTTTATTTTCCATAATTAAAGACTTTCCATTATAAAACGCTTGTTAAGAGCTCACTCAAGAGTTTGAGCTCTGAGCAACAGCGGTTCGATTCCTGACCCGAGCTGAGCTGCTGCTGAGCTGCCAACAGGTGGCAGGATGGCTCAGCTAAAAATATATAAAAAGCCATATATGAAATGTTTCTGTATTTTTCACAAAATGTTATAAGGAATATGGCTCATTATCTAGTCCACTATCTCAATATAGTCTGTTATTTTTTAGTAAGTTCCCTAAAGAATTTTAAGATTCAGCCCCCCGCCCAAATAATGATGATAATGTAAGCTGTCCTAGTGAATGATAGATTTCCTCCATCAGAAAAGAAAATATCAGTCACCGTTCACTGCCCACGGGAGATGTTTTCCCTTTGATCTCATCATCTTTCTCCTTGGGTTACTTGTATCTTTCTAATTCCCTATCCTCTACTCCAGTTTTGATATTCCAGATATCATTTGAATCCTACTCAGTTCATGAAATCTGTCTTGACTACCCACTGCAGAGAATGCCCCTCTTTTGAAGAGCACAATATGTTGCCTCTAGTTTGCACATAGCGTATCACCTCCTATTATATGTCACTATCGTATCTCAGGTACAAAATCCAAAATCAAAAGCCAGTAATATTTGTTGAATGTGTATTATGTTCCGAGCACCATGTTCAGGATGTTAACATATTAACTCTTGCAAGTGCATAAGAATATGCCCTCCTTGATAGAATGCATTATATGTTATATATCAATATACTCTGGTTTTATAACAGAGTGTACAGCATATAGCAAGTGGTCGATAATATCTGCCGATGAAAGAATTTGCGTCAATTTTCTCTCCTGACTTAAAAGAAAATTCAAAGATAGAATTATCCTTAGAAACTGTCTCTTGTCCAACTGCTCATTTCACAGATTTTGTTTGTGAAACTGAGACCTGGAGATGGGAGGTGGCTTGCCCAAAGTTGTATAGCAAGTAGACGTCTATTGAATGGAATGAATAAGTGAAAGAAGATGTGACTCCGCCAACCAGGCTTTCTGGCTTAAATGAAATGATAGAACAATGAACATTTTACCTTGCGCAGTGTCTAACAGCTTATTCATTACCTGGATAGATCTAGCACCTGCAGTTCTGAGAAGTTGGAGAAGCTATAGCTGCGTAAACGCCGCAGGGGGTTAAAGCTCAGGTCCAGTTTCTTGGCTGACGTGGGGATGTTGCCGGGGATTTTGTAGAGACCCAGCTCCATGCACTGATACGTGACGTGAGGCACCACCTGCAATGATCATACATTCGACTCAGTGTTATCCTGCCTGCACCTCAACAGACCTCGCCTCTCTCCTAGGCCAGAGTTTGGGAGGCCTCAAGTACAATCGCAGGGGCCAGTCAACGTCCTTTTATCTATCTGTCCATTCATCCATCCGTCCGTCTATCCATCCATCTATCCATCCATTTTTCTACTCACTTCATACTTATAAAACATCTTACTCTAGATGAAGAAGGTTAAAGCACCTACCACATGCGCAATGTTCTGACTCCTACTATCATAATGGCAGCATTTAGCAACAGCAATAGAGTCAAGTGGTGAACAGCTGAGGCTTTAGAGTCCAAAACCTTGGGATTTCACCCCAGCTCTTCCATGAGCTTTAGGGCAAGACTTTTATTATTCTAAGTAACCCCTCATGGTAGACGGCTTTGGGGAGAGGGCCGGTCTAGGTGTCCAGACCTCCCTTAGTCATAGCCCAGTTTTTGCTTGTCGTATTTGCTCCCTTGGCTTCTTGACCTCGATCAGGTGATACAGAAATGGGGGAGAAAAATCCTTGGAGTGCATGGACTCCGGTGGTGAAACCTAGTAAATAACATCAAGTAATTTATACTAACTTAGTTTCTGTGTTGGTTTCTATTATACAATACTTCCCAAAATTCATTGTAAGCTTGTTCTCTAATCTCCCACTTAATTTCTGAATTCTCTGATTTCTTTAACAAAATGTCTTGCTTAAGCCAGCTAATTTTGGCTTTCTGTTGTTTAATCTCAATAGAATCTGTTAAAAGGATTAAACGAGATAAGGTATTTAAAGAGATTATCTCAAAGCCTATTAACAGTGTAAATGATCAATAGAGGTTAACATTTATTATTACGAGTTGATATTAATCCCTTACTATATGCCAGCATATTTCTTATGTGTTATATATTTTAATTTAATCTTCAAATAATTTTTTTAAAAGAAGAAGAATTCAAAGAGATAAAATAATATAAAGTCTCACAGGGCACACATTCAGGCCCTCACTTCATTTACATCTGCTTAAATGCTACTGCTTTTTTTAAATTAAAAATATTTTTTAAAAAACAATGTTTCAATTATAGCTGACATTGAATATTATATTAGCTTCAGGTATACAGCATAGTGTTTACACATTTATATAACTTAGCAAGTGATCACCCCAATAAATCTAGTACCCACCTGACACCATGCATAGTTATTACAATATTATTGACTATATTCCCTACGCTGTACTTTATTTACATTCCCGTGACTATTACCCTTAATAAGAGCCTCACAGACTGTACTGTCTAATAGAGGATGGTGCCGTGCACCTTTCTCCTACCGTCTTTTATCCTTTTTCACAGGATGCACCACCAGCTAACATTATGTTGTCCGTGTGATAGTTCCCTAGGCATCGTTCATCTCCCTCCCTAGAGTGTAAGCTTTGATGGTCTGGCTCTCTGCTATGTCTCCAGCACTCAGAATAGAGCCGGGCAAATGGCCGATACTTAGTAAAGACTTGTGGAATAGATCAATACCTAATTGAATGGAGGTTTGTTTAAATCCAGATTGTAGGCACGTTCTGTTTAGCATTTTGGGCAGCACAAAGACCAACGTGATGTTGCTTCCGATTTCAGTGAGCTCACAATTTAATGGGTTAAGGCAGGAGCACAGCTCACACTCCTGAAAAGAGCCATAAACCAGGCTTGGAAAATATTTCCTCTGGTTCAGGAAAGGTGGAGGCCAATTCTGGATCCAGCGGTGGTAAATGGCTTTTGAGAAAGAGATTTTAAGGTGAGTCTTGAAGGATGAACAAGATTTGGATACATGGAAAGAGGAAAAAGATGAGAATAGTGTAAGGAGGAGTGAAAAACTAGTTTAAATTAGCCGGCATATGGAGGGAGTGATGAAACCTTAAGCCAGAGGGGAAGCCAGGGCCTGAGAAGGGGTGGGGTGGGGGGCTCATACTTTGTCCTATAGCGATAGTTTTAATTGTTTGACACATATAAATTGAGCACCTACTATGTGCTAGGCACTGAGATATAGTGATAAAAAAAACTAACAATGATCTTGCCCTTTTACAGATCCCATTTCAAAGGGAAAAACAATGAACAAATAAACAAACATATGTGTATATGTGTGTAGATATAGCGATGTGCTGTAAAAAGTAAAGCAGCATAAAAGACTAGAGGCAAATATGGGGTGGGGGTGAGGAGCTGTATATGAGGTGATCCAGGAAGTCTTCTGGAAGAGGTAACATTTAAGCAGAGATCTGACTCTGAGATAAGGGATGAAAATGTCTCGTCAAATATGAAATATCAAAAGATCTCATTAAGCCATGAAAATATCTAGGGCTGCACTGTCCAACGTGGTAGCCGCTAGCCACACAAGGTTACTGAACATGAGAAATTTGGATTGTCTAAATTGAGGCGTATGGTATATATACATACATATCTGCAAGCCTTAGTGCCAAAGAAGGCGTCTAGAATATCTTATTAATAGTTTTGTATATATTACATTTTGAATAATATTTCAAATATACTGGGTTAAATAAAAATGTTATTAAAATTAAATTCACCTATCTCTTTATTTTTTAATGTGTCTTCTAGAAAATTTAAAATCATGTTCAAATTTAGTTAGTTCAGACTTCGCTACGTTGATTATTGAAACTTAAATAATATCGTGTGGTCTGCATGATATTACCTTTGGGCCACACTGACCTGGGAGAAAGCATTATTGCGAGAAGAAATAGTCAGTACAAAAGCCCTGCGCTGGGGAACAGTCCTAATAGCAGTGGAGCATTATTATGTTTTGAAAGAGGGTGATTTTTTAGATCTAAGCCTCGGGTTAAAACAACAACAAACAAAAATGTGCAGAGTGGATTAAAGGAAGGAGGCTATGGAGTCAGGAGACTAGTCACTATCGAGGAGTCCAGGCCGGGGGAACTGAGGACCTGGCCTAGATTGGCTCTGAGGGGACGGGCAGGCTTTGGAGACTGAGGCAGGAGGAAAGGGAGGGGCCAGCAGTGGGAGTGATTTTCTCCAGGGGTGACGCTGATGGGAGGATCTCTCTGCAGTAACCTTAAAGCAGCGGGGTTACAGAGAGGAGGACAAGGTGTAGGGCTGCGGGCAGGGAATCAGAGGAAGAGGGGACTCTGAGGTAACACCTTCACCTCAGTTACATATGAAAGGCCACTATTTCCCTGTGTCCTCAGTTTCAGAACTCAGGCTGGCTATGTTGTTGAGTTCCTGACTCTGCCACACCCTGAATCCCAGGACATTCTATTGGCTCTTTGGCCCTATCGTGGGCTTCCAAAGCAATTGTCAAGTCCAAGCAGGGGGAAAAACAAAAAAAAGATCCACCACGAATGGGACTGCAAACCTGATGTTTGGTGTTTCACCAAGAAAGAAACCATTGCAGTAACTGACATTTTATGTCTTTCTTTCTTCCCGCCCCCACCCCTTTTTATTTCCCTCTCTCTGTCTCTTTTGCTATTTCTCTGTCTCTCTTTTTCTTTTTAGCCTCTTTGCATCCTTTGGGTGGAACTATGACTAGATTCAGAAGTCTGAAATACACTTAGAAAGTTCTTTCTATTAAGAAGCAAGAAACCATCTTTCTGCTGAGATTCAAAGGGGCAAAGTGACTGCTTGAAGCTGAGTATACCGACAACCGGCGGAAAGGAATGACAGGAAGCAGCCTTCTTACAGACTCTCGATTGAAGTAGATATGACTATAATTCTTTTATAGGTGTGAGAACCCGTCTCAGAGAGGTTTGATAACTTCTTCAAGGTCACACAGCCCAGACGCCTAAGAACAGGGATTTTAAGCGGGTCTATCTGACCTGAAGTCCTGCATGGGACAGGATCTCATGGGCTGCCTGTTCGTGCCTGGTAACCGTGAATTCTTTGTCCCTGTGGCTTCTCAAAGGCAGTAAGGTAATTTGACTCCTTTTTGGGAACGAAACTAACCAGAGCAAGCAGTGGAAAGTCCTGGGCAGAGGGAAGTTTTTCAAAAGCAAAACAAAGCATACTAGGAATGAGCTGACCCCGAACACATACCTGCACACAAGGGTCCCAGCTCTCGGGTCTCAGGCAGGAGAGGAAGGCCATGGCTAGGATCAGAGTCCCAGCCAGGCGGGTGGGAGCCTTCATCCCGGCATTTTTCGGGACCAGAAATGGCCCTGTGACAGCATGATCCGCGGTAGCCGCCTACCAGGGCAGCCTTTGGGGCTGTGCTGTCTTCTTTCCCTTGCTCCGTTGGCCCCGAGCAATTACTGTATTCAAAGCAGCGCTGGGTAAAGAGGCGAGAGAGGAAGTGAGAGTGGCAACCGGAGCATTCTGGAGTTTTGTTTCTCTAATATTTCTGTCCCCCTCTCAGGAGGGGAAGTTAGAAGAAGAAAATGTCTGCAGACCAGTGGCTGGAGTAATAGCAACAGGAAGCTGGCTTTTTTCCCAGTAAATCATCTGACCTCAGCGTTAAGGAACTTGGGAAATTAACCTGATTGGTCACTCTGCGTTAGCTATCTAGGACGATGGCTTTTCAATATTGTTTTAGTTGCGGCGACTTATGGTCATATTAGTTTCCTAGGGCTGTCATAACAAAGTACCACAAAGTGGGTGGCTTAAAGAAGACATTTATCTTTTTCACAAAGTTCTGGAGGCTGAAAGTCTGAGATCAAGGTGTCAGCAGGTTTTCTTTCTTTTCAGGTTCCTCCTTGGCTTGTAGGTGGACACCTTCTCCCTCTGTCTTCACCTGGTCTTTCCTCTGTGTGTGTCTGTATCCTAATCTCCTCTCCTTATCAGCACAGGAGGCACATTGGATTAGGGCCAGCCCATATGACTTCATTTTGCCTTAATTACCTTTTTAATGGCCCTGTCTCAAAATACAGCCACATCCTGAGGTGTTGGGGCTAGGTCTTCAACATTTGAATTCGGTGGCTGGTGGGACACAATTCAACCATAAGCTCCATCCAACCTTGGGAAACCTTGGGAAGAAGCTCATATTGATGAAACTGATTAAAAATAAAGTTCCAACGGAACAGTTTGAAAAGTACAGGGATGGTAGGAAACAATTGGGATGAGGAATCAAAATACACGGAAATTCAGATTCAGGCTGGGTGATTTAATTTATGGCCTTGTGGCATTGGTCAAGTCACTTAAACTACTGATCCTTGATTCCTGGTCTGAAAAATGTAATGATAGCTTCAATAACCATGGAAGCTGGCATGTATGAGATTCATAGAGATAAAGCCATGTGACAGTAGTCAAATGATATAAGCCACTAAACCTTAAATTTTCTGGTCTTTAAAATGGAGATAATTGCATTTGTCTTGCATGATTGAATTAATTTACATAAAACCCCTAGTCTAGAGCATAGTTCATCTGTAGGTGTAGTCCATAAGTTGGTAACTATCATGATGATGAAAAATCTGAATAAAATGGGGATAACAATAGGTGCCTCAAAACATTGTCAGGAGACTAAATAAACTGGTAATTGTGAAGGTCTTAGGACAGCGTCTGCAATGTTGCAAGTGTTCCTATTAAATAAGAATATAGTTAGATAGTTGTATCAAGATGCTGTGCAGGCACCACAGACCCAACATACGTGAAATCAAGTTGTGAGGGAGCGTGCCGTAGGGGCTGAGCACAAACTCTTGCAGTCTTCTTTAATACAGCTCTAAACTGAAGCTAAAATTAGGCTCCCTGTCAAAACTCTGCTTTGAGGATTGGGACTATGTCAAGGTCTTAGACAAGTGCCTGGCACATAGTAGGTGCTCAATAAAGTATAGTTTCCTGGACAGTTAATAGCATGTCATTTCTACATACTCACCCAAGATGGACATCTCCTTGGCTTCCTCACTTCTCTCATCAAATGTGTATTAACTTGTATTTTGTTATTTTTCCTGTATTCTTGATGCTCTGTCAGGGGACCTGGCTGAGGATACAGTGCCCCTCCCAAGGCCAGCCAGTCCTTAGAGATAGCTCACCTTTCATATGCAAACTAACCAATCCAGAGCCCATTGCTGAACGCCTCCTCTATCTGGCTTTTATACTTTAGGAGGCTGTATCCCTTTGCCCTTATCATCACAAGACCAGCTACCAGACAACTAGAGGAAGCGCCCGTAGGTACTGGTACGTACCTCAGAGCCTGCTAAAATTATTCAAACTAGGCAATCGCAAGCCTGCTTCCCCTGCCTTTCCTCGCCTTTCCCACAAAAGGCAGAGGAGTGAGGGCAAAGCACAGGCAGGGTCCTGGACTGTGGCTTTTTGCCTCCTGAAGAGCCGTGGTGCCTCCCCAGGTGGCCCTGCATGGAGTGGCATGCACCCTCCTCTTGGGAACTGGGAGCAACAGACTTATCTTTTTAAGGACAATTGTCTCCTGATCTGTTGGTCCACCACACCTGAGTAATAAATCCCACATTTTAAAACAAAACATTCTACCAAGTCCTAGAGATTTTATCTATAAAATAATTCTAAAATGTCCATCTTCATTTCTATTAGTATTATTATACCCCCGGGCCTAGATTAGTGCAATACCATACTCACCTCTTCTAATGTATCAACTCTACCAATCCATCTTTTATCCTGAAATCAAAGCAATCTTTCTAAAATTGCAAATAGAATTGCTTCATGCCATGTTAATACTATTCTGAGGCTGTGTATTTATTACTCAGATCTCAAGACTCTTGCCCACCCCCCACCCCCCGCAACCATACACACACATACATGCACATATAAACACATACCACATCACCTCCTAAGAAGAATCAATGTGTGTTATTTCAAGCGAGACATAGCTAAACCTGTTATTAGGACACAACGCTTAAGTGAATAAAGTAATGTAAGATCATCTTCCTGTCATTGGTGAGCAAACCCTTTCTTTAATGGTCAAGATGAGTCATGGGAGAAAGGGTCCAAGACGATCTCCTAGACTAGCGGTTCTCAACCTTTCACAGGGGTCGCCTAAGACCATCAGAAAACACATATTTTCGATGGTCTTAGGAACCGAGACACTGCTCCTCTATCTGTCTCCAAACCCACATGCAGATACGCCCACCTACGCGTACCCGGCGACCCCTGTGAAACGGTCGTTTGACCCCCAAAGGGGTCGCGACCCACAGATTGAGAACCGCTGTCCTAGACTGTTTCATGAGATGTTAATACATGTATTGCATAGAACTCCTGGAAAATTCTGTTCATGACTAGAGAATGCATGACTGTCCCTTGTAAAGGTGCTTCCTTTTCATGGCCTTAGCACACTGTCTACTGACCTTAATCAAAGATATCTCAGTTCTGTGTGCCTCTTCCAAAGGACAGGCTATGTACCCGATACAAAAGAGAAACTAAACCCTCACTTATCAACTCTTACTTGTTTTTGTTGGACACACCCCTGACTGCAGTGTTACAAAGTAAGACGTGATGATTAGCTACCATCGCAGGCCCATAATTTCCACTGCAGCACAGTAATAATTACACCGTGGGCATAATTACAGTAGTAGAGACTTGGCCAGGTGCATGGGAAGTGACTTGGTTTTCCATGTGCAGCAAGGTCAGCTCAGGACCTGTAACCATTCTGGCAGTGGAGGGACCCCATCTTCACCAGCCTTCTGGAAGACGTGTTCAATATTATTTGGCAGGCGCTGCAGTGTCAGTAAGAAATAATGAAAGAACAATGCTGACCTGTGTTAGGGGAAGCTAATTGCTGTATCAACCTTCAAATTTGAGTTACTTAACAAAATAAAAATTTATGTCTTGCTCATGAAATTCTCAGTGAGGATATTCCTGACTGGAGGTACTCCAAGACTGATTCATGGATCCAAGCTCCTTTCATTTCATGATGCTGAGTCTGATTCTATCCAGCAATTATGCTGCCATGTTCAGCATGCAGCCTCTAAGTTTGCTACAGAATTTGAGAAGAGCGTGGTTAAGACGCATAGATATTAACTATATACCTCTGTTCAGACGTGACATGGATCTTTTCTGCTCTCACTTCGTTGGCCGGAACTATGGTCCTGGGGGACCATACCCAGTTGCAAGGGCTCTTTCTCCTGAGCTTCAAGCCTCTTACCCTCACCCAAAACTCAGACACACACACATGCACGCGCACGCACACGCGCGCACGCGCGCACGCAGTCACTGATGGGTACTGCCCAACACCACCAATTATATTCTATATTATGAAAGGAAACACAAATCTCTGTTTTCAGTGGGTTATCTGTGCTACAGCTTTAGCATCCTGTAATATCCATTTCAAAGTGATTGAAAGAAGATAGCGAGGAAACAATCACAACACAGTCGGGATCAGAGAAGAACAGTCCCCTTAGTTTAGCATATTTAAGAACCGAATCTGATTCTAACCAACATTTCTGAGTTTCACATTTTTTACACGTAACATCTCTCAAATCACAATGTGTCTCACAGACAACATATTACAATGATAGTTGGCCTGTTTTTTTTTTTTTTATTTTCCAGTGGCAAATGCAGTAATGATACTTCTCACAATCAATGGTATCTTACAGTCAATGAAGAACGGCTTGTCAGTAAGAGGACAAGGCAACATAGGCTCTGTTCAGGTAAATAAAGGAAACAAATGGTTAAACAGAGAATAAAGAGATTTGTTTCCCAAAGTCACCTGAGAAAATGCACTAGACGAATGTGTATTTTGCATCTACAAAAGGAAATAGAGTGCTCTGTGTCTGCTAACATTTTTGACCCATGCAACTCTCTTTTATCCTTGGATACCCATTACCAATTGTATCCATTAGCGTGTCATGGACCGGCACCCTGTGATCTGGAGTACAGAAATGCTGCTCTTAAATGGAGGCAGAAAGGGTCTTCTCCTGGCTCTGTGTGACCCAGCTTTCCCGTGTCTGGAGCTGGGTCCTCACGTGAAGCACTGCCTTGTACATCTCAACATTTTTCTCTCTAATACCCTGGTACCAGGGGCAAGTGAATGTACCCCTACAGGGGGCTAGCAAGGCAAACAGCTTAAGGAATGCCTACTCCTCCCAGCCTGAAATGGATGTGACACTTCCTGTGTTATTTTTAAATGACGTGGAATTTCCCATGTCTGTATTGTCTTCCTTAACCAGTAGAATTTAAATTCCATGAGGATAGAGGTTCCATCCAATGTTCATGTCTGGGGGACATGGGTAGGTGCTCAGTAAATAGTTGATGAAAAAATCAGTGAACAGTATGTCTGAATCTGTTCTCACTATGTAGCTGGTATTTTGTAGTATCGCCACCTTTTCATACTGAGTCATGTGAATCTCTTAGAAGATGTTTAGTGATTATTGTGGACCTTCTCTGTACTTTTCTACTATACTTTCTAATACTTTCTCTAATACTTTCCTAGTAATCTTTCCTGGGAGTACCTGTGTCCCAGCTCTAAGATACACAGAGAATCAGAGTTATA